GTCGTGATACTTTTTTTATTATTTTTCTGTCTACGTGGCTTTACCGAAAGACCCAAACAATATGAATAGTACAGTACATGTGTATAACATCTACGAAGACGGCTTGAATGCGGCAGACATTTCAATAAATGTGATTGGACGGTGTCTGACCTCCTTTAAGAGTGGGCCCACCGCTATATTCGTGAAAAGCTTTCAGTGCCACTGTATGACAAGTGCCCCTCCTGGAAACTGAGGGCGGTCTATTGTGCTCGCAAATGTTTGCGTGTGCACACACACACAGATAATGTGTGTGCACTCCAGCGTGCACACTTAAGCTTTCAATGGCGAGGGTGGAGCACAATTCCTTTCTTTAAACAAAGTTTTAAAAGGTGTAGTGATTCATTTGTCCCTGGGGCGCATAATAAACTAGCCCCTGTTCCATAGCAAGTGGTTCACAAACCCCATCGTCTGGTATGCAATGCACTTGAACCAATTTCCGCGACTAAGCAAGGGCTGCTGAGGGCTGCTGAACAAAAGTGAACTCGGCCCTGAATTAAAAGGTAAAGGTTCGGGACTGAATTGCTCACTCACACCGCTGCTGGGGGTGAAAGGGTCTTCACGAGACAGGCACTCTACATGGTATTTTGGTCTACTTTACCATGATAGAGAGACGTGGTGGAAGAGGTGAAATCAACACGCTTTATCCTGCCACACTGGGAGGGGTGGGGGGATTTAATAAACTTGCCCCATCGTGTTAACTGCCACACCGAGAGATGGAATCGAACGGGCGACCTTTGAACTGCAAGCCCAGCGTGCTCACCATAACACCGCAGGAGCATTACATTCTCAAATAGGCAAATATTAAACATGCATACTAAACAGTACTAATAATTTCAGCGGAACAGATCTGGCCATTAGGCTTAATCGTCGCACATCTTAACGTGAAGGATGCATCTCTCTTCGGTGGAAACTCAATCGGGAACGAAAAGAAAAGTAGCCTCATTGGAAAAAAAAACCCATTTAATTTAACTGCATTACAGAGCCAAGTCTGTTGGGTACATATTGCCTCAAAGGAATAAGTGCTATTCATAGTAATGGACTGAGAAATTGTTAAAATGCCAATTAGTTCACAATCACAATTATATCAACAACTGCTGTCCACTGGAAAAAGATAAGACATTGACATTCGAAATGCATTGTTGCAGAAGCATACTGCATCTAAACTGGCGCAGAAGTAAGAGAAAGGTTGCACATAGAAGAAGACAACCTGATGAGGCAGGCAGTGATGAGAAGGAAACTGGCACTATTTGGACACGTATGCAGGATAGACAACAACAGGAAAATTCAAAGTGTTGTTGTTCGGAAAAATATAAGGAACTGGAAAGAGAGGAAGACGTAACAGGGAACGGCTTGATGACGACACAAGAGATTGGTGCCTGGAAGATCTGGCCGCTTCTTGAGCATATCTGCACAAGACGGAGAAAAGTGGAAACAAATGATGAAATGTGCAGTGGACACCTGCGGGCTATCTGACCCATGGATCGTGATGATGGTGCTGATGACCATTACACTATAAAACATTGAGCCTTTTCAAATGTCATACGTCGGAGCGAGCTGTCAATGTTAAACAATACGGATAGTCTAGGCATTGAATTATAAACTAGTTGTAATGGAAAGTAGATTAGTTGCGCTGCACCAAGGCATCAATATAGTTTTTGTATTAAACGGAGAATAAGTAAATAAACCACAGTTAAGTGGAATGAATTGTGTTAATATATTTTACCCTGCAGTAGCCATTACGTGAATTGCATTCATCCATTTAAATTATTTTCCAAGTTCATTTTTTTAAAAGCGTAACGCGCTCCGTATTCCCAAAATTTGCTCGTGCTTGCTCCTACAAATGCATCGCAGTGCCGTGACTAAAACAACGGTGCTTAGCGATTGAGAAGCAATTGCAGCCCAATGGGATTTTCATTCCCCCCCCCCCCCAGGAATCTGTAAACGTAGAATAAGTAAGAGCTGTGCGCAGGGCATTGCTTTGGCGATGACAACCGTGGTTTCGCTGGTTCCGTAATAGGTTCTACATTCTACGCGCACATTTTGCGAACATGCTCAGGTTTCCAAACGGCGCCGCTAAACGTGGCCATGAACGTTCCCAGTGATGCAACTAATTGAGCACAAGTGCTGTGAAGCACCCTTTATAATGCCCTTGGCTACTAACCACGGACACTTCAAATGAATTCGCGCTTCAGCTCCGTTTTTGCTGTTAAATTTTAAAGGCTGTTAAAAATGTAACATCATTGGCCTTGGTCAATCCACTGCTGCATGAATGCTTCCCCAGACAGTCCTCGTTGTTGCGGAGGTCCGACTTACGGAAAATCTGACCTCACGGAAATGCTCACATAAATCATGTTGCAAAAAAATGCAATACGCGGGAAAAGTTTAAGGATGAAGGTAAATGGAATTTTGGGGGAAATTGTTTAGTTTCCGACATACGGACAATTCGGCTTAAGGATCGTTCTCGGGAACCTAACCCTTCCGTAACCCGGGGACTGTGTGTAAATGTTGTACTCTACACGATGTACTATATATCTATCTCGTCGTTACGCAATTTAACAAAAAAATCCTTCATTATGGATAATATTGGTCGTAAGAGCCTACTTGTTAAACCATCTATCTATCTATGTACTGCATATGAAACACAAGGTTCGATTCTACTGAATTAAAACCAGGGCCTCGCCGTTACAACGGTGGCTAATTGATGCTGTCATTGTGGGCCTCTAGTGTGGCCAATTCAACTGAGCTAATTCCCAGTGTAATGGATGTTTTCGGCCTGTAGACAAGCCATAAATTACTGTCAGGTTTGTCTGGGAGATTGATTTTTAAATGGGTGCTAATGCAGCAAGCACTTTGCCAGCGATGAGGGCTGGAGGGGGGGTAGGCAGCGTTTTGATAGCTCAGGAAATCTCTCACGATACCTGACCACCGATCAACAGCGGCGTTATTAGGGAGTCGTGCTTTTGTTGTTAAACATGCGATCACTGAAACATTCCCGCCAACTGGGCTTTTGAGGTTTCCGATTTGAAAGCGAAAAAAAATCGTATGCATATTTCATATTTTTTGTGAATGACTTTCAAGATGTTTTCCTTTTAAAATATATATTCTCCTCTTCATCTCGGTCATGCATTCACGAGAAAACAATTGAAATTCAAGAATTTGTGGCATGCGCAAAGATAATGATTAATTAATTCGACGTTATTTTTTGCTCATTTTAAAAATGTCCCTGCTATCACTATTTGCGGAGCTAAAATGGAAACTGCACGGACGGGCGAACGTGAAGTCCTCTTATGAAGCAAACATCACACAGCCTCGTAATTCACGAATGTACCCCACTTATCCACGAAATAATACATCGCAGACAACCGCAGGTGACAGACACTGTGGATACTCACAGCTCTCAAGGATCCTACAGCTTTCCACAGATGATAGGGTGTTGCAGATGAAAGTAGTTCTCATGTAAACAAACACTAATCGTAAAACCAAAACATTTCCCAACAAGCTGTTTGTCCCCCCAAAAAAGCGTTACTCCCTAAAACGAGGCACATTTAACATTCAAGGACGACTTGAAGTGCACGTTTATAATTGTGACTAATTCTCAGAAAATGTTGGCAACAACAGCCGCGCACAGTGACCTGTTCTCGCGGAACAATGTCACGGTATCTTTTTTTTACATCCACGTAAATTAGCCGACAGCACGCTTTAGCGGACAGCGTCCTTAATTGATAATGTTCCAGCGGCACGCGATCAAGAAGGGCTCTGCTTAGATTCAAATTGGCAGACCCTGTGCCCAAAGGCAAGCCACACAAAACCACTAGGGAAAGAAGCCCAGCCTTTCGCCGACGATAAATATAAATAGATTTTTTTAAACTAAAATAAATAAATAACCCGGCTTAACATCAGCGCAGCGGGAGCGTGCATGCAGCTGAGATGCAACGCGGTGGCCATGATAGTGCTCACGTATGATTTGTTGTAACCAACAGTGAGCCAACGGGATCGCGATGGCACGAGGCATCGCTCGTGCGGCGTCACGAGCGGCCAATATGCGACCGTGACAGAGGCAGCCATAAAAGGCCCTCTGATCAACCGCGCTGAATGTAAGCCAAACAAATATATATCCGTTTAGATTCGCGTCCAACCGCCCAAGGTGATAAATAAAATGAAATAATAAAGCATGCATATAAATAACCTTGTTCTAAGAATGGCATACAGCTGCTTTCCACTTAAAAGTCACTTTGTGTTGCACATGCCACGAGCAGAATTATTGACTTTGTTGTTTTTTATCAATACGTCTTCATACAAGCTAGTAATTTAAACGTAATATGGTTTGCAGAAAGCTCTGGGGATTCGGCAGTGATAAAGAAAGAAAATGTTCGTGCCAAGTTACTGGAGGCCATCGAATGAGTGCAACATTGACGTAGGTGAATCATTAATCAGGGGGGGTCATCTCTTGATCAACAACAAAGAGGCATTGGTGGCCTAAACCATTTCCCTGTTTGATGTTCACCCCTTCCATCAATGCGGCCCCGTTCCCTGGTGTGTGGGTCAGGTGGGGAGGGAGGAAGCCGTAGGGTACTGATGGGAGGAAGGGATGGAGCGGTGGGGGAGCTGGTGCTGGGGAGGGAGCGGTGGGACGCAGGGAGCGGTGGTGGTGCTGATGGAAGCGAGGGAGCGGTGGTGCTGCTGCTGATGGAAGGAAGGGGGAGCGGTGGTGCTGCTGCTGATGGAAGGAAGGGGGAGCGGTGGGAGGAAGGGAGCGGTGGGGGAGTTGATGGAAGGGAGGGAGCGCTGCTGGTGCTGATGGAAGGGAGGGGGAGCGGGTGGAGGGAGCTGGTGCTGGGGAGCAGGAGAGGCGGGGTGGCTCCGTGCCCGGCCCAATGGAAGGACGCGGCGGCCGTGAGCGACGTGCGCGCGTTTGGGGGGAGGGGGGGGGGGGTCGGGGGATGGTTGTGGTGGTGGTGGGGGGGGTTGCTGCGAGTGCCGCCCGCGAGACCGCTGCCATGCGCTCCGGCGGGGAGAGGCGGTCAACACGGCAGAGTCCCACAGCCTCTGCTGCCCCGTGCAGCAGCAGCAGCATCAGGAGCAGCCGTAGCAGAGCCCGCGGGCGCTCCGCTGTGCGTGGCGCGGGCGAAGGGGCAGGGGGGACGGTCCAGCGAACGAGCGAGCGAGGCGAGCCCGACCGCCAGAGGCAAGCTGCACAGAGGGGGCATTATTGTGTGAGCACCCTGCGCTTCATTTCCCAGCCACCTTGAAAAGGAAATGAGATGATGCTCCTTGCTGTGCTGTAGGTGAGTGATTTAACTCAACTCAGCTGGACGTCACATGCAATAACCAGTTGCAGAAATGATGCTGTACTTGTGAAATGCTGAAAGGATCGCCCGCTGATAAGCGTCGTTGGGTGCTCTCGGAATGCTTAACAGACAGAAATAAAATGGGCATTTTTTTTTCCTCTTCGCGAAATATCGCTTGAATGTATGCAATCGGAGCAGTGAACGAATGTGATGCAATGCTTACAGTCATTTATATAATTACACACCACGTAAATATATCGGTAAGGCACACACCGTGACAGCAATATGAACAGTTGCTCATAAATGGCAATTTAAAACGATACGTACGCGATGGATTTGCTTTTCTGAAGCTCTCCAGTTCAGATTTATGAGTGTGAGATTAAAGCACGTGATGAACATCGATATTTATGGAATTATACAGCATCAGAACACTTTCTGAATAGCGAGAACACCAAGCTATGTTGAATAAGTTAGTCTGAGAGAATGGGGGGACGGGGGGGGGGAAATCCCCCACAGAATTCAATCAAAAGTAACTTAGCAAAAAAAAAATCCTCCGCAACTTTCTATGCATATTTGCATATTCTTTAACTTGTTTTTTGTATCTCAAAACATTGCTTCTGCTTTTCGGTGAAGTAACGGATAATGATCTGACAGCTCCAGAGCCCACTTCATTGCCGGTTCAGATTTTATATACGACGACAACAATTTGAGTTGGAAACGGGAGCAGTGGCGGCGGACGGGGTGAGCAATTGTTCGGATTACATTAGAGCCATGGGAATTTGACCAGGCAGTGACACAAACTGAAAAAAAACCTGCCTTGCTCACCACTAACCACGGGGCGAGCAGAATTTCAATGAGCTCTGGGAACGGTTGAATGACACACACACACTCGCGCGCACACACTCGCACGCTCTTTTTCCGGGTAAGGAGTGGGATGGACAGGGGGGCGAAGTGTGATGAAAACACAAAATAAAACAGCTTCTCAAAGGTCTGCCCCATTGCACCACGGCGATGAAATTGAGTTTCCGGATTGCAATGCCCTTTGCTGCCTGTCTCTACGGATCGGCCTGCATTTGTGACCACTATTCTTTTGACACTCTGCTGCCCTGTGTCACGACCGCGGTTTAGCTCTCCGATCTGGTGTTTTGAGATCTGCCCCCCCCCCCAGCGTGATGTGTTTCGACACGATGTCCGACGTTTCGCTCTGCGTGCTGGGGAGCTTCTTGTAAAAAAAATGTCAAGCTCCTGAAGGAGCTCCGGCTCACGTGGAGCGACACGTCGGACGTCGTGACGAAAGCACACGCAGAGCGACCAGAAAAGAGATGAAGAGCTAAGCCGTGGCAGGGTTGTATTGGAGAAAAAAACGAAAGACTTCGTGCTGATATAAGGGTGAGGCCAGCGGTGGAAATGTCACATTCATATGACAGAGGACAGTCTCTCCCGAGCACAATCACCCGATTAAACACGGCTCACTAATGAAATATCGCATTAATTTCAAAATGCCACTTAAATGTCACGTGTCCTATTTGATTGACTAAAATACCTAATGTTATCCACTTAAATGTTTTACTCATTGGAGGAAGTGGTGGCTATGAACTCAGTGAGCTGAGTTCAATTCCCGGCCACGGCTGACAATGGCATGTTCAGGCCTTCAACCAGGCGTGCATAGCTGACCAATCAATTAATTGATGCTGTCATTGCCATCTGAATGAATAACCATCGTTACTTTGCTTCTTTTGAGCATTTCTCCCAATAAACCTTTTGCAGTACTTTTACGCTGTACTAAAAAAGTGCATCACTTTCAGGTTTGACATTTGAAACCAGACTTGGAATACAAAAGTGGAATTTATCGTACAGTACGTTATACAATTGAGTTATATAATTGGGGTCAGCGGTGACGCAGTGGGTAGCGTGCTGCGCCCTGGAATCGAAGACCTGAGTTCAATTCCCTGCCACGGCCTGGAATTGGAGTCCTGAGTTCAATTGTTGCCAGGGCTAACGTCAGCGGCGAGCAAAATTTTAACCAGCCCCTAAGCCTCCTCTCATTTACCAATCTGCACTGACCAGCATGGTGAAGTATGGTAAATCAACCGCCATGACCAAAACGACCTTCGGCCAAATCTTGACTTAAGTGGAATGACAGAGAGTGCTTAATTAATGATCAATCTAGGTCAACCTAATTATGTTTTATTATTCATACGAGGGGTAGAACTATTCAACCTCCGGGCAATTTGATGACATGTCACAATTCAAGGTATCGATGTGACTTGAGAATCAAATATTTTATTTAACACGAATGCAGTGTCTGGTCGCATCTCTGTTGGCTGCAGGGGTGAAGCCATTACATACACTGATATAAATACAAATCCAAATATAGCCATCCTTGAAGATACTCGTGCAAGTAAACTTAAGAATCGATTAATCATTCCACCCATAATCTGCGCTCAACTGTCAAAACAGAACATGCTGCAGAATTTGCACTTGTGCAAAGTTAATTGTAATTCCAGCTAAATCCTTTCAACTTCATCATTTGATGCATATAGGACCAAGCCTGATCCAGCTTCAAATGCTAAGTGTACCTTAACTTTACTTTGACAAGGAGAACTGTTACAACAACACAAATAGCATAAAATACGCGTCTGCATTTTCACAATTGCCTGTATAAACAGGTTTGTGAAAGAGTTGCAGTTGGAGACAATTGTAGATGATGTTTAAAAGCACCTTGGGTGTTGGGAACAAAATGGCTTTTCAGCACCAGGGCATGGGACGTATTTAAATGGAGCTTTCATGCAAGTTACCAGCTATGTAATGTTATATTAGTATTTAAACAATCTCAACGAAGGTTATATATTAATAGTTTTTTTTGTTTTACCAGGTAAGGACCATTGAGCTATATAGCTCTTTTTCAGAAGCGACCTGGGCCCAAATGATAGCTCAACAAAGTGGCTTATCATGTGGAAATTATAGCAGCAGCCAAATACTCTAAATGGGTGTTTATAATTGTGGAGGGAAAACCAGAGGACCCAGAGAAAAAGCCACACGACCACTGGGAGAACATGCAAACTCCAAATATACCGCAAGCATCAGGGTCGGGATTGAACCTACGACCTCCTGCATACCAGGCAAGGTAGTTCACATCTGACAACCAGTTCCGTTCTTGCATACGGCAATATAACACGTAGGCTTTCGCGACCAATCTCATCCATAATAGAAGTTTTTTGGGTTAGCTCGCATAAATATAAATGTGTCGTTAAACCCACCAATAATTACTGCCAAACATCTTACTCGAATTGTAAATGTTGTGGGTTTACTCTTCAACACACCGGTGTGCTGTACTGGCAAAGAATTGGCATGTTCTGTTTACGTGACAAACCTTACTAATTGGCCGTGTCGGGTCGTGGCGGGTTAAACGACACATTTATATTTACGAGATCTAACCCAACAAAAAACTCTATTATGGGTTCAGCAATATGTTCAGGTGCTAAATGCCAATGTCAGGTCTCCTAAGGAGAAAGTTCGTGTCGTTTTGATACTCCTCCTCCATTGAATGAGCGCAGACTACAGTGATTTGCTATTTGGTCCATATATTGCATTGCATGGCCACAATAATAACATTGTGGCTTGTATTTAATTTCCCATTCATGAATGAGAAGGGCTTGAGTATTGCGATAACAGTTAACATTCAGATATTTTGGTTTCAAATTGTCAACAACAGTGCACAAACGTAGCACCATCAGGAACAGTAACAGTGTTTTTTAAATTCAGCTTTTGTGCTTTCAAGGTGAAATTGCTTGTACCATCTACTGCTGGTAGAAATTCCTCCACCATAAGGAGAATCCCCTCCTCCTAGCTGGTCAGCCATCTTGGAAGAAGTGAGAGTACCCCCACTTTTCCGCACCACACGCGACCTGCCGATCGGCAAACTGCACTGCACCCATTTATACTGCTGGGTGGACAGAGGTTGGTGGTGGTGATTGAGGATTTAAGAAACTTACACAATTTTACAACTACTTGAATATTTGGACCAGCGACCTTTGGATTGCAAGACCAGTGTGCTAACCATTATGCCGTTGCAGCTTCCCATTTATGGTAAGAAACTGAAAAGGCAGTGGTTTAAGGATAAATGATCCTCTGTATTGAGTCACCATATATATTTGTGCCACTTGGGCTGGTAAAACCATGCATTTACTGAAGTGTTTACCAAGCATGACTAATTTCATATAAACAAGCCACATCGTTACATATTTGGAATTAATCACCATCCCATTTGTTACTCGTGTTTTTTCTTTGCACCGTCTTCTGATTTGTGTTCATATTTAAACGCGATAACCTAAAGAAAACGTGGCTTTACAATGATCTTGTTTTATTATTTTTACTCATGAAGCATGGAGCCTTTCTGGTAGTCTCAGTGTTTATTTTATATAAATCTTGGCATTCTCAAGAGTTATTCTTGTTTTCAAATGTCATCACAAGGTCACCAACAGTCAACATTAATGCTTTTAAACAGTCAACTCTGAATTACATTGAGCCTGATGTTCCTCCCAGCATATGAAAGGTGACGATCACCTACGTGTTTTCCATGGGAAGAGGCCGTCACGTGTCAATTTCAGAGTGGAATTAGCCACCTGCCACAAGTAAAATATTTCCGAGAAAAGCAAAGAGGGATCTCGTTCCATTTTTAGTTGTCATAGTGTCTCAATGAATTATGATCTTAAATTTGCACAGCCATAAATGAAACGGAGTGACTCACTTGTGCAATTACTAGCTGATATGTTTTCATGTTGTTTGGCATTATGTTCGACGTTTTGCTCCTAAGTGCTGGGAACTTCTTTCGGAACTTAAATGAGCAGCTCAATTTTCTAGGGCCAGATCGATTGACAGGCAGTGATACAGCTGAGCCATATAAATAAAGATTTTGAGTGTTACCGCTAAGAACAAACACTTGTTGCACATTATCAATCGTGGGCCCGTTTTAGAACTACAGTGTTGCGGAGTGT